ATTATACATTTGTAATTGTGTAATAACTGTAAGTATTTGTGTAGAATTGGAAGTTTTCAGGGTGCTTTTTATGTAATCTCATTTGATATTTTGATGTGTATGTGTTGGATATTACTGCTGCCACTAATTCATAATGAGGAAATGATTTTAATAAGTAGCATCAAGAATCTACTATATACTGCTGTGTACTGTAGATGATGCTTTATGTATGTAATCTTTTTTATTTTATGTCTATAGAAATTCCGCAAGTTAAAATTCCTGTATTTTACAAGTGGGAAGAAGTTCCAAGTGATTAAAATGTAATTAATCAGCCTCACTGCTACTATTACTATTTGGAATTAGATTGCGTTTCATTTAACTGCAACCTGTGCTTTGTTTTGCTTTGCCATCTACTACTTCAGGAAGCCAGGTGTATTCAGATAGTAACTGGAAGAGGTGGGATTGAAATTCTCAAGTCTTAATGTTTCACATAAATATTACTGGTGTTTTGTCCACTTTGTTATTTTTAAAATTATTTTCCTTTAGTAGTAGATGTTAGAGAATGGCTAGAAATTTTTTGCCCATTCTGGTAGTAACCAAACTATAGTTCATGCATATATGGAAAAATAAAGTGTTCATGCAAAAATAATTTTAAAATAATTTTGAATAATTTAGATTTATTAAGATGCAGTTATTACTGTAACTGGATTGTTATTACTAACACTGGATTAAAAAATAGAAGATCCTGATTAAAATCCTAGTTTTGAAATTTAGTAGCTTTGGTAAGACACTTTAACTCCTTGAAGTTTTAGTTTTCTAACTGGTAACATAGGATAAAAAGTAATTCACAGATTGCAGTAGTTAGGATCAGAGTTGCTGGATTTGGAAGATTTGTTTAAATTTTGGTTTCCCCTCTTAATGGGATTTTAGATAAGTAACTTTTGTGGGCCTTATTTTTCTTTTCTTTTACGATGGGATGAAAATAACTAACCTCATAGTGTTGTTACTGTAGGATTAAATGCAATAGGGTACAGGCTAGAGACCACGAACCTCACTCCCGCTCCCCCCACCCTCCCCAACTTCCCTATCCACTGTCTTCTATTTGGTTAAGGACAAATACTACTGTCAAGTGACCTAGGTCTTGTCTTTTCTAAGAAAGTCATAGGATCTTCTCCTGTTCATTAGGTTTTCTTTTAATTTTGTTGATGCCAGAGACCCTATATTTAGAATGTGTTCTCAGTTTCTAGAGTTATGCTCTATACATATTAGAATCTCAGTAAATTTAAAGCTTTTGTTGTGTTATTTAAACTGAATTTATACATAGTAGGCACTTAATAGCAGGTAAATGAATAAGTGAATGAACGCTGTTATGGAAAATACCGAAGAAGAGTATCTTATCTTCAGATATCAAGATAATATGTAGGTACCTGAATTAGCTTAATATAAAAGTAGGATAATTTTTTATTGAATTTATTGAGGTGACATTGGCTAATAAAATTACATAGGTTTCAAGTGTAAAATTCTATAATATGTCATCTGTATATTGTATTGTGTTTACCATCTGAAGTTAAGCCTCCTTCCCTCACTGTTTATAACCTCTTTACTCTCTTCTGTCTTTCCCCATCCTCCCTTACCCCTGGTAATAACGTTGCTGTTTTCTGTGTCTATGAGGTAGTTGGTGTGGGGTTTTGTTTGTTTGTTTGTTTGTTTGTTTTTTGCTTAATCCCTTCACCTTTTTCACCCAACCCCCACCGCCAACTCAGGATGATTTTTTATTATTGAGCCAGAAATAGTGAAGTAAGCCTTGAAAAATAAAGAATTATTCTGCATTCTGGGCTTGACTTATTAGTGATTAGAATCAAGGGAAAGAGTCTTTTTATATGGAGAGCCCTCTTTATGTTTAAGGTTGGGAAAATAAAAACAGAGAAAGGTCAAAAAAGAGAAAAACATCAGAATAATTATGAGATGTACTTTAGAACTAGCAAGAAAGGACCAGCTTTGACTGTGGCAAGGGATGAGGAAGCATTAACACTGTAGGACTCAGGTCTTCTAAGGATGCTGGGGAAGAAGTTTGATGAGTATAGAGGGTAGATAAGACATGAAAGCCATGTCCGACTTCTTCCCTAGTCTCAAAGTGGGAGACCCAGAGAGAGCTTCACTTGGTGGATGAGTCTTAGAGTTTTAGGTGTAGAAGGAATGTCTGGGTTGCTCTGGACGGTTAGCTCAGTTGGTTAGAGTGTCATCCTGACATCCCAAGGTTGTGGGTTTAGTCCCTGGTCAGGACACATAAAAGAATCAACCAGTGAATGCGTATGTAAGTAAAACAACAAGCTGATGTTTTTCTCTCTCCCTTCCTCCCTCCATGTCTTTCTCTCTTTCCCCTTCCTCCTTTTAAAAAAATAAGTAAAAAACATTTTTAAAAGCCTGGGTTTACTCAGATCTTATGAAAGAAGGATGGGTAGTGTGATTGACAATGTTGATGGTATTTCTGGTTTGGTAGTGTGAGACAGGCATTGAAATTTATCTCTCAAATGTAGGCACAAGGTTTCAAGTGGGACTAGGTAAAATAGTAAAGTGATGGGGAAGAAATAAAAGGTTTAATTTTGATTTTGTTTTTAAAAAATTTAACCTACTTCCTAGTTTATTGGTTTTCATGATGCTTTAGTAAATATGTTTTAAAAATCCAGCAAACCAGTCTTTTCAAATACTATACATCTATATATACTTTATTGCTTAATTATGTTTCAGTTTATTTAGGTGAAAAGTAACACTGAGAACTTGATTTCCTTTTAAAGACAGTTCTCAGTGAAAGAGTAGATAACTTAGGGATGAATTATTGTCTTTCTTGCTATGCTCATTTTTTCATGTATTTATAGGTTATAGTCTTCCTTGGGCCAAAGAAGGCTTAAGTTTCCCCAGATTTTTTGTAACTAATTTTTTATAACTGTCCTATTATTACACCTATCGCTTTATGTTTTTGGATTTCCTGACATCTTTTCTAAGCACTTGAGGCTGGACCATATACTTTACTGTGTGGTTGGTTATGTATAGAGGAGATTCCATTTATGAATGATAAGCCTGTTGGAGCGTCTAAAAATTTAACTTGCTATGTGCCTAATGCTTTGATCCATTGATATTTCTAGGTTTGTGTTTGTGTTTTCCCAATGTATAAAGTATTCCTTATTTTTGAAAATGCAAGGAGTAATACGATCACTTTCTATATACGTGGAAATAACTAAAAGGTTCAGATACATGTGTTAACCTTTTTCACTGCATATAAAGGCACTTTTTAAAATTTGTAAATAACCGCTAATTACAGAACTCATTTGTGCATTTGTCTTACACTCCACTTGACACCTTTACTAAAACAACTTTCCCTGTTTCTTATTGCCACATGCTGCATTCTCATGATTTCTTTGCAATCTATAAGCTGACAGAAATGTTGGAACTACTTTAGTGCCACTGCAAAATAGGACAGAGCAGTTCAACAGATACCTAGATGGTCTGTTATCATTTCTCCGTGTCTCATGCACAGCCCGAGTATGTCACTTTTGGTTACCATCACTCCAGATGGTAACATGTCTCTATGTTCCAAATAATGATACCAAAAGAAGCCATAAAGAATGGTCACTGGTGTTACTCTATAACTGATGGAATTACTAACTGAATAATCATTTAAGTCACATTTTGGTGTCAAGGTTCTTCTTGATTTGCGATTCTCATACTGCCTACATTCCAGGAATTTATGAAAGCTTTCAGTTCCTTATTCTGTTAGTCTGAAATCCCTGGCTTATGTTGCATTTTCTTCATGAACTCCTTCCACACAGCTGTGTCTTCGAACTTTACACTATGAATGTAAGATGCTTATAATGTTTTGCATCTGTTTTAGTGTATTTTTTAAAAATGTAGTCATTAGCACATTTTGCTTCCTGGATTATTATCAAGCATTTTTCCAAAAAATCTTATGTGCAACATAAATTTATTTCTCAGTTCTGGAGGTTAGAAATCTGAAATCAGGGTGCTTGCATGGCAGGGTAAGGGCCCTCTTCCAGGTTGTCAACTTTTTGTTGGGTCCTCACATGGTGCAAGGGTCAAATACTTTTAATGTATTTCATAGCTTGTTGAGTTGAAAGTTTCTTAGCTTTAAGATTCTTGTGTTTTTATTTCAAAGGTAGATTGTAAATGTAGCAGTAAGGGATGGATGACTCAGCACCATCAATTCCTTATAAGAATCGACACTACCATTAGTGACCTTAGAACCCTGGTGTATTTTTTTTTTTTTAGGACATACAACTCTTCATATCTGTGAGAACTGAAATCTGAAGATAGGTAATATTGTTGACATGTTAATGTTTCTTGTAGTATTTCTATAGTTACTGTGTAGTTAGCATCATGTCTTGTACATAGCAGCCAGCCTAAAACCATATGCAACTCCCTAAAATTATTGGGTGATGGTTTGTTTTAGAAGCCAGGAAAATACTGGCCAAAATAGTGTCAAAAGTGTGGTGCTTAAAGATAATTACATTTTTATTGTTTGTCTTACCTTTTAGAATTTTGTGTTGTTTTCCTGATATTTTTTAAATTGAGAGAAGAAAACCCATTGTGAAGTCTAAATACTCCTTCTTTCTTCCAATATTTTTCTGATATTTGGAATTTAACCCTTTTTTGTGAGTGCTTTTAACTTCAGCATCACTTTTCTTAAACGTGGGCGTGAAATTGATGTTACTGTCTTGACATCTGCTTTATTCTGGTAGGTCTTATAACCATCTTTTCCTAGGACTTCTTTTTTACCAGGTAAATGTTTGTAAAATCTTATTTTATCCCTTAGTTCATGTACTCCTGATTCTGATTTTTCAATTGTCTATTAATGAATTCTTCAGTGCACTATTTACTTGCTCACACATAGATTAGCATGGGAGCCACATGCTGTAGGGTTAGCAAAGGAGCAAAGGATTAAACATGCAATGGCTTTTTGTCACAATGGACTTTTCTAAAATTGACTCCTTTTTTTTTTTTAACAGATAAGTGTAAAGCAGGAAATTACTTTTACTGATGTATCTGAGCAACTGATGAGAGACAAAAAACAAATCAGAGAGCCAGTAGACTTACAGAAAAAGAAGAAACGGAAACAACGTTCTCCTGCAAAAGTAAGAGCATCTATTAAGGTGGTGGCCCCTAACCTATTAATCCCAAACAATTGGTTAATCTTATGGGTGGCACCTGACTGGACAATAGAGCAGATGTAGAAAGTATCACATGGCTTAGTAGAGTTGGAATGTTGCATCAGCCTCATCAGGAGGAGGGGACGCATGCCTGCATGGCGGTGGTGGGCCATTGCTTTCCACTTTTTCACTTCTCTTTCACCGTGTCTTTTTTCTAAAAACAAACTTTTCTTTCCCTGTCTCTCTCTTTTCTTTAAAAACTGGCAGATGGTATGCAGTGAGTGTCTGGCTTTTCATTCATATTAATTTTACTTATCTTAATATGGTTTTAGGAAAATTCAATTATTCATCAGGAAAAAGCTGTGGAATATCTGTATTAGACTAGAAAGCAAGTGTCATGAGGGCAGGGACTTATTTTACCCACAGGTATATCCCAAGATCCTGGAATAGTAGGCATAATGCAATAGAGAGACAATAAATACTTTTTGGGTGACTGAATGGATTAGTAAGTAAGCAAGTGACCCAATAAGCATTATTAGGAATTGCCTGCTTTTCTCCCTCCTTTAGTACAGTAATAGTTATCTATTGATACTCCTATAGAATCTGTGAACTCCTGTTTTCTTCCCTCATATAAGGAAAACAGGCTTTTTTAAAAAAGATCATATGACCTGTTATTTTGATGGCTAATTGATTTTGCCTTTGTGATTTAAATTATAATTATCATTATTAATATATTTTGTATGCTTTTGGACACAGTGGTGCATTGGAGCCAGCTAGTACTGGCTTGCCAGGGCTGATTGCTAAGATTGCAGGAACTTTGCAAGTCAGCACTAAAACCACTGGTAGCTTAAAAGTAGCGATGGTGAGACTATTTACTCTATGGAAATCAGTAAAACCTTCCCAATCCCCTGACTTCTTAACTTGTTCTTAAACATTTACCCACATACCACTGCTTTTGGCATACACAAGTGTGTGTTATAGAAAAGATTGAGAAATACAGAGACTAAAATAACCTATAGTCATGTTGTCTAGAGATACATTCCTTAATTTTCTGCCATACTCACTTAGTGTCTTCAGATTTGTAGATGAATAGGACTTCCAGATTTTTAACTCTTGAAATGTGTGTAAGTTATTTTTACGTGTAAAGTTATTAATGTTTTTTATAAAGATATTAGCTGCACAATATTCTTTAGAAATATCACATATTCAATGATTGCTGTATTGTTGGAAAGTCGTATTCTCTTTGCCTTCATTTTAAATCATGCTGCACTTAAAACAGTTGTATAGAGATATTTGTATACTACTGAATCAAAGGGAATGAACTTTTAAAAAGGTTTCTTGATAATATTACTCATTCCAGAAAAATTATACCAGTTGCTGCCTGCAGTGACCTACGGAGTGTCTGTCCACACTCTCATCAGCCTGGAGTGTGGGACTTTGCTTTTTGTGTAGCTTAAAATGGGTGTCTCAGTATAGTTTAAATTTTAATTCCTTTAGCTACTAGCTATACTAAATTTAAAAAAAATAATAATTATTGGCATTTTATATTTCATGTTTTCTGAAACCCTCCTTCCTCTTTTCTAGGAGTTAATGTTTTTCTGAGCAATTTATGTGATACTTATTGTTTGTTTTTTTTCCATTAACAAATAAATCAGGTTCTTCATTAAAGAACCATACCAGGTTTGGAGGAAAAAATTAATTTCTAAAATGGTTTGTGATAGTAATTATGTTACTTTGGGTTCACTGGTGATCTATGAGAAATTTATTTCAAGTCTAAAAACAAATACATGTAAGGTCTACATTTTCTTTGATATTTTATTGTCATGTTTTTCTTGTACTATTCTTCACTGTAATGTATTCTGAAATACTGACTAAAACTCCTACTATTATCTTTCAGTAGAGTGTTATTTGATAATATGTTCTAGGTGGTTTGTGAGTACAGAGATCAGATTTTTACAGTGTTTAAGCTATTTTGCTTTCTTAGATAGTTAAATTCCTTTATAATGTATTATATTTCTAAAGGTATTATTTAAGTATTTATGTATCTCTGTAGTTGCTAGAAGGAAGATTTGGCCTAGTCTAAGTATATTTTATATAAGAAAATATTTTGGGGCAGTCTTTTTAAGGAATCCTTAGAGGAGGGTGAAATGACCAGGAATACTGTGTGGCAGACAGGATCTCAGAATAACAACAAGTATTTTTAAACTGTTTTGACATGTTACATGTAATGGGATGGGAGTGGTTGTGGACTGTTTTTAACATAGGTCTGCAGTCTCCAGATGAATGGTTTTTGTGTCTGGAGTTTTAGAACTATGAGGCATAATCAGTGAGTTATTCCACATTTTCTCAGGCCTGTGTTTAAAAATTCATACTTCTGATTTTTCATTAAATTCTTTCTGCCCTTTTGTATGGAGAGCAGGAAAAGCTTATTTCACATTTATAAATCAATGTGTTGCTTGTTTTAAATTCCTTAAAACCAACTTAAAACTTATCAGAGAATTTTAACTTATTATACTTAGAAGTCTCTACTCTCCCCCAGCATCTTCCCAAAATCTTGAATTTTTCCATTATGAATAGTTTTAATGTGTTGTCACCATTGAGTCATATTAGATTGGGGATCTGTACAGGAAATATAACTAAAGTAATGTGATAGACTTTAAGTAAAAATATCAGAGCTTATAATATCCATATAAATGTGGCTCCCTTCAAGATGAGCATTGTGATGTGAAGTTCTGTATTGTTAGATCACCTTTAGCTGCTATGGGTTTTAATCAATAATTGCTTTCTGAGCCTTTGTCATATGGCAAAGCCTAGTTGTCTTATGGTAGATTTGATACTTGAAAGTTGCCAAAATACATTTGGCATCATGTCTGTAGAAGAAGAGGCTAATCAAGCTAGGGAATGTTATCTAGATCAAGTTATTTGATACTGTCATGGAGTAAGCTGTTTTATGAAAGTAAGTTTTTTGCATAATAAAAGCATGTCACTTTTAAATGTCAAATTTAATTTTATTTTAACCACTTTGGTGGAAATCTTTAATGTGTTGTTCTCTTTTTAAATATAGTGCATTTGAACATGACTCAGCTTTAATGTTTTAGGGTTAATGTTGAAAACATTTTTTTAAAATACTGTATGTATTGTAATGAAGCCCTCTGGGAGGACCGAGATACTAGGGCTTTCCCCCACTTACACTGAAAACTCCTTACTGCTAAGTTCGCCCTCCCTTGCTCCCCCCCCCTCTTTCTTTCTTTTTTTAAAAAAAGATTTTATTTATTTTTTTCCAGAGAGAGGGGAAGGGAGGGAAAAAGAGAAGGAGAGGAACATTAATGTGTGGTTGCCTCTTGTGTGCCCGCTAGTAGGGACCTGGCCTGCAACCCAGGCATGTGCTGAGACTGGGAATCAAACGCGCAACCCTTTGGTTTGCAGATTGGCACTCAGTCGACTGAGCTACACCAGCCCGGGCTCAGATTTTATTCCTTGACTGCTTATAATAGCTTACCTTAATGACATAGTATTCAGTTTTACATTGCTATACCTATATGGCCACTTCACATTCCATTCCATTGTCCCTTTGAGTCTATTTTTGTTTTGTTGTGGATTAGGACTACAGAGCACTAAAGTTATTAGAGATGTATGAAGAGTCTCAGTAGACTTCATTCTGGCTCAGTGCATTCATGTCAGTGGTTGTCCATCCTGGCTCTGCATTAGAGTCACTTGTAGAGCTTGTCCAGTTATGAATACCCAGGCCCCATCAGTAGAGATTCTTATTCAGAGGATTTCCCATTATATATTAAAGAGTTCAGGGTGATTGTGATTTATATTTAAGCTTAAGAATTTCAAGCCTTGATACTACAAGTTTTGGGAGAAATAAAGTATTATCACCTGACTTTGCTATTAACTTATTAGGCGATTAGAAGATGATTTTTCCACCACAGAAGATTTTATGAGGGTTGTTGAGTTAATATTGATGAACTCGAAGAATCCTTTTCAGTAAAATATAACGATATTGTCTTAATATTGTATATATATTATACTTCTTTCAAACTCTCTAGCAATTGAATGAAATAGAGCACAGGATACTTTTTAATAACTTCTCCTTATTTTGAGATGTATCTCCTTTTTCATTCTGTCAGCAAATAATTTTTGTGTCTGATATGCCAGGATCTCTTTCTGAATAAAAGAACTGGGTTTGTTTGTTATAACACTCTAGGTGTTCTGAATAGAAATTAATTATTCAAAGTTATGCTGAACTCAGGAAGAGCATATTCCACAAGTCAAATAGATTTTAAATCATGTAAAGAATTCTTTTCTGACAATTTATTATATACCGTTGGTTCCCAGAAAAGATTTGTGATTTTGATATCAAAAAGATTTAAAGTTAAATGATATAAAATGAGGAAAATTGAGTTAAAAGCAGCAGAGAAATAGATACCCTAGGCATGTGTCATACTTTGTCCTGTATGCAGATGTGATTGTGGAAGAAGTGACTTTGAAGGTGAAGTACTGATGTATGAGACTGGGGGGAGGGTGCGCGGTAGATATAGGGAATAATACGTGAGAGAAAAATGAAGGAGAAAATGAGTAAAAGAAGGTATTACTATTTTATTTATCCAACCTTCCCATGGAGTTGTAGTTTCTGAGTAAATCATTTTTTCACAGAACTATTTTATTAAAAATATTTTGATGTATATCTTTCTTTAAAAAATATGACATACTTCTTTGCCTGCTTTTTAGAAAACATGAGAGAAATAGCCTTTTCTAAAACTCAGGGTTGTTATAATGAACATCACTTATTGTACCATGCTTAAGATTCGTGTATTTTGTGTTCTGGCACTGTCAAAAGCTTGCCATTCAAAAACAAATTTTGGTAATATGTAAAATCTAATATTGAGAAACAACAAAAATCCTGAAGAAACAAAGTAAGTGACAATGTGAGGATGGGATCTTAGAGTTAACCAGGAGAGTAAAAATGAAGTGGCCATTGCCCTTGATGACTTGGTTATTTTGTTGTATGACTTTTGGGTTATACTGTTCTTCCATCTCTAGATGGATTGAACCCTCCTCTGCCTTTTAAGAGGGCAAAACTTTCTGACTGAGGGATGTCATATGTCCGTTACTCAGTGGCTGTGACCTTTGAGGACTGAAAAATCTCTGGAATGAATAGGTAGAGCTTAGTGCTTTGCCTGACTAAAGTTGGTTGTCTATTATTGTTGTGGGTGTTACTATTATTATTCCTTACCAGAGGACATGCTTATTGATTTTAGAGAGAGGGAAAGAGAGAAAGAGGGAGAGAAACATCAGTGTGAGAGAGAAACATTGACTGGCTGTCTCTCCTGTGCACCCGGACTAGGGACCTAATCTGCAACATAGGCATGTGCCTTCACCAGTTACCAAACCCACAACTTTTTGGTTTACAGGATGATGTTCCAACCAAGTGAGCTGCAGTGGCGAGGGCAAAGTCGGTATATTGTTTATGGTTACCATCACTATATTTATAGGCAGTTAGGGGAGAACACATTTGGCTCAGAATAAAAACATACCTGCTAATGGACCATGAGCTAAAGAGAACAGATTAGTTGAGTTCCATTTGATACTGAATTTTTTTACTGTAAAATTCTGTCTTAAATTTATTAAACAATTAAAAAATCAAATACGTTGAGTATTATTTAGACTATTAGGAATTTTGCCATTCTTGATAAAGCTTGATTGCTTGGCTTTATAATATACCATATATCTTCAAAAGTATCAGTGACAGGAGACAAGATAAATCATGTAGAGATATAGGAGGCACCTCAGAATTTAAACTTTGAAATTTCAGATTCTTCAGTTGTAATGTTCATATGTTGAAGGGAAAAAGAGAACCAGAAATATTTTATGATACTAGTAGCAGGTAAGACAGCTAATGTCTAAGGTAAATGCACTTCACTTAACTGGTAGATCACATTCTATGGAAAGGTCTTCAAAAAGGGGATGTGAACAAGAGAAAAGGAGACAACCTGATACCAAGGAAGAAAATTTTGCCTGCATTGATTTGCCATTTCTGTTCCACTAAGGGACTTGGTTCATTGCATACTCACCTCTCTCTGGCACTGCTTAGTGACTTTGAAAAACTGAAAAGTGTGTTACTTCTTGTAAAACGTTTGAAAAAAAATAAAGTGTTAAGCTTGTGAGAATGTTTGGTATGCATAGCAGGTGGCTACATCAATAGACATGTGTAACATCTTACTGTGTTCCTGACACTTTGGGACATTGGCTTTATAGTGGTGAGTAAAACACAAAGTCAAGTAGTTATGTTTAAAACAGATTACAAATGGCAAGAGCCACTGATGGTCTTCTGAGGCGAGAGGAATTTTACTTTGTGTCCTTTTATGCAAAGATGTTTGTTACTCTAGCCTAAAAAGAAAAAAATGAAAATTAAATATAAAATGCCTAAGAATTTGATTTTTCTGTCTTTGAACTTTATAAATATGCTAGATTTTTTTTTAGTCTGCTATTCACAAGCCAGTGTTAGCTGTTTCATCCATAAAATCCACCTCAAATAAAGGCTTGAATCCACAATGAAAGGCAGCATTACCTCTAGTGACAGAAAACAATGACCTAGAACTCCACTGTTCATAAAAGGGCTTTGTACAGTCAAGATTACATCCGTTTCACATTCAGTAACTTGGGCCAGATTTGTTTCTCACAGAGCCTTTCCTTGCAGTTGCTGTGCCACAGAAAACTATTGAGCTGCCATGTTTTGGGGGCACATAGCTCTTATTTAGCAATACATGTGAAAAAAATACCTGGTACTATATTGTTTTTAGTTCTGCTTTATATAACATGTTTAATGTCTTTTTGTTTTTTATGTTAGAAATATTTTGTATCATATTTTAAAACTTTTTTTTTTTTTTTTTTTTTTGCGCACAGTGTTAACTTGCATATTATTTTGTGATTTTGAAACGTTGAAAAAATTTTTAAACTGACTGGCCAGAGATGAAACTTTTCATTCTCACTGATTGACTCTCTTTAGGAAGCCGTGACTCCCACTTCCATTTGCCTGCCAAATGTTTCCCTTTGACTTTGGTGCACAGGCTTTGAAGCATTGTTGACCACATTGGCAGTTTGCCCTGAACCCAAAGCCCTGTATAATTTGTGTAATAATTACCACTGCTTTATATACAGTATAGGTGAATTGTCTTCCTAAATTTAAAGTAAAAAATAAAAATTTTTTTTAATTAAATCTTTTTTTTCTTACCTATTCCTCTTTTCTAGGGTGGAGAAGGGGTCATAGTGTGCATTTACAGACCCTGATCAGTTTCCAAGGACTTTGTATTTTTTAAGATGTTCCCTAGATTTCTCTGCCTGTGTGGGACACAGTTTCTTAGCTCCCCTCCATATGCCCCCAACTCTGATATTGTTTGCCTCTCACTTGCCATTTTCCTCTTGATCTTATTTCCTAGTTTTATATGCTTTGAATCATACTCTGCCGTCCTTCTTCGCTCCTCAATAATGAGAAAAGGGATCATTGATCATTTTCACTCTGCCACTTGTCTGATGAGCAAGACAGTTTAATGTTGCAGTTTAACAAATGGTCAATAAATTGGAATACGTGAAGCCTAAATGTGCCTTCTCTCTGGCACTGTCCACGCCAGGCCCTCAGTGTTCTCAGCCTAAGAAGCCCAAGAAGATAAGGTTGACTTCTTTGTCACCTTTCTTTCCCATACCCACTCGTTTATTTATTCAGCAAATATTTTTAGGAATATTCTTAATAATTTAGTAGTCCTAAAATAATAACCTTAGCGATCCAGGACTGGTCCAAACCAGACTCTAAATTCTGTCCTAGGATGACTTGAAAACTTTGTTTTCTGGTCAAAGGAAGAAAATGTAATAGGCAAGCATTTATGAGGTTTAAAAAAGTGTTTTAAGTATGTTCAATGTAAAGTCTCTCGACTTATCTCCCATCTGCCAGATTCCCCAGCTGTTACAACTGAGGTTATGTACATTTTATGTACACCCTTTAAAATAGTTTTTATGTATATACAAACAAATATATATGTACACACACACATCCTCTATGTACTCTCTTGTTGACAAAAAGTAGAAAAATTATATACTGGATTCTAAACTTTGCTTTTTTTACTTAATAAACCCCAGACCTCTTTCCATATAAGTATATAGAGAGCTTTCTCACTTTACATGATAACCACATGATATTAAATATATTAATTTTCTATGATTTATTTCTGTGATTTATTTAACCAGTCCTATACTGATTGATATTTACACTATGTCTAAAACATAAGACTTTTGTTCTGTGTATGTGAGAATTTGAAATTGAAAATAAAGCTATCTTCACACTAACAGAGGACACTCAGGGACTCTGTTAGACATTAGCTTTGGAGAGGAGGGGCAGAGTACTGAAATCTTACGTGACCAGCTTCCAAGGTTTTATTAGCGATCTGACCCATTCTGAGTCACACTGTTCTTTACAATTAACAATAATGTCATTCTAACAGCCTTTCCAAAATTATTTAGGAAAAAATTATTTTATAATCTTTGGTGAGCACTGTTTGCATCAAAAGACATTATCTTTTTTATAAATTAGTGTTACATTTTTAAAACTTCTTTCTTTTGTTTTTGCCTTTTTTTTTAAACTAGATTCTTACAATAAATGAGGATGGATCACTTGGTTTGAAAACCCCTAAATCTCACGTTTGTGAGCACTGCAATGCTGCCTTTAGAACGAACTATCACTTACAGAGACATGTCTTCATTCATACAGGTATTTCTTGATTTAAAATGGGCTTATGTCCATTAAAATTATCTTTGCTATTTTCATCTTTGTGTAAATGTCATTCATTCCTAAGACCATAGCTAACCTGGCATTTCAAATCAGAGATTTCATAAGGCCAGAATGTCAGACGGAGACCAAGAAAAACTTCAAATGAGAAAACAATTAGCACAGATGTGCTAAATTAATTAATCTTAATTGGACACTTACTTGGCTTAATGTGTTCTTTTTAGCTAGAGAAACAGTTAAAGAGTGTATTATTGAAAGCCTGTCAGCATTTATTTTTCTATGTATGATATCCAGATGGAGCTTGGAATATGAATTTGGGAATCAACTATAAAAAATGATAATTAAGAACATGAAGTTTTACAGAGCAGAACTAAAAGACTGATCACAGATCTTTGGGAAAACAGATTAAACCCGCAGATTGACTTAAGGGGGCACTGGGGAAGACAGTAAAGAGGTAGATTTGATGAACTAGGAAAATACAGTTGTCCCAGAAGCCAGAAGGAGAGAGAAGACCAAGGACGGTATGATCAACAATGGCACAACCTCTTGAGAGGATAGAGAAATCAGAAAAAAAAATTAGAATAAATAGCAAGGAGATAATGAATAGCTTTTTAAGAAAGTAGAATATATGGCTTAAAGCACAAGTGGGTAGTAAAGAGTTAGAGACATAGGATAGACTTCTCTTTTAAGGAGGAGTGATATAAAGGTGAGAAAGTAATGAAGGAGTGTTTCAGGATTTCTGGAAGTTTTTTTGCATAGAGCCGACCAAAGAATACTTTCCTTAAAGGGAAAAGCTCCAGCAGAGTGGGAACGTTTGAAGATACAGGATTTTATTTTTGAAGGATGTTTAGAAAGCTCTGAAGATTCTGGAGAAAATAAGTACTTGGGCATAAAGTGATGGTCAGCCACAGAGAACAATGTGGGTGGATCTTCCTCCAGATAAAAAGGAAGATGTTTAAGACACACTTAGATAACCTGTAGGGTGCCCCCTAGCCCATCATTTTTTAATTCTATTTTAAGTTTTATATCATTTTTTTTTTTTAATCCCTTAAAGGCTAGAGATCAGATTTAGTCTCGTTTTTGTGTGATTCTGAGGATGTGAATTTTAAAACTTTGGGGAAAAATTGAGAGGAAATAGAATTCTGTTAAGTTAATAAACAGTTTCAAACATTTGTATGGATAATTTGGCATTTTCCAGAATTTGGGCTTCTAAGGTTTATCTTTATTCAGTTTATAAATATAAACTGTGTTGTATCCAGTAACTAATTTGTGGATATGAAATTATTTTAAGGCGAAAAACCATTTCAATGTAGTCAATGTGACATGCGTTTCATACAGAAGTACCTGCTACAGAGACATGAGAAGATTCATACTGGTGAGTGTTACCACCTTACTAGGGTCATTAAAATTACGATTTCAAATATAGGGAAAAGTTTTAATGAATAGCAACAACTTATTGCCACTTTTATTAGTTTTGTTTCTAAAGAGTATATAGCATAGTTCATCTTTTTTCTTCTTGCAATAAACCAATGTTAACTGTTAAGACTTGTCTTTACTGTCCAAGTCCAATAAATTACCTTAAAATAGGGTTTTATAATAACAAAATATATTTAAAGTGACAAAAGAAAGTTGTTGTGAAATAGCTGTTTCCTTAGAGGTTTAATAAGTTTAAGTAAAATTATCATTTACATTAATTAGTTTGGGGGATGAAAGCAAAATGTCTGAGCCCTAAGATAGCAGTGATACCACTTTTTTTCCTTAATATTTATGTATGTAGCTTGCTGTATCAAGAAAGTTGTAATCCTGATAAGTTGAAAACTTTTGAGTTTTTTGGTTAAGTTGTTAAATTGTTTAGAAACAAATATTTTGGAAGATTACTATAAAGGAATCCATTTTAGAGCAAACATTTATTTACTTTTGATAGTTTTAATATGTAATCTTGATTTTGTAGGCTGTTAGCTTTTGATTTTTGAGGTCTCTAAACATGGTAAAAGTGTTTCTTTAGAATTTATTTTCAGTGTTTTGCTTTTAGTGATACTATAAAAGTATAGGTGGTGAATTTGTATGACTTTGATTCTTACATTTAAATAGAATTGAGAATGATGGTGATGATATGTGAATATGACAAATATTAAGGTTCTTCATATTTCTTTATATTAAGTACTTAAACAAGTACCTGCTTGGTGGTGTTATTTAGATGTATTCTCATGGTACCTGCAGTACCGATGAAAGGGGATCCTTGAATAGTTTGTCATGTAGAAGAAGCAACCTTTTCTGCCTAATAACATTCCTTACCTTTCTTTGCCCCTAACAAGGAAACATGACTGTGGTCCATCTCCTTAAATAAAACTTAACTATGCAGCATATCTATGTGCTTTGATGTTCTACTTTTCAGAGATTATTATTGTGCATACCACCCATTTCAATTTCTTAAGTAAACATTTATTCATCACTTCCAGATGGAAGGGAGTGGACTAGGCATTTTGGGAAGAAGAACAACTTTTTCAATTTTATTGTGACTCATAGCTAAATTTAAATTTCCATGTAATAATAAAACTTGATCAATGATAATTGAAAGTCATTAACTATTTTTGTATGTTTTTAATACCTATTAGATTTTGATGATTTGCTCATTCATTGAACAGAACAGTATTTTTTAGGTACTGGAAATACAGAGGTAATGTAAAGCAGTTTCCTTGGAGCTTACATTCTCATGTTAGAGACGGACATATGAACAAGCACAATATAATAAGTTTTGTTGAGTTTTATACAAAATACTGTTGTGCCCTGAAGAATAGCCAGGTGTGCTGTCCATTGAAGGTTACATAGGGAAGGCAACACACAAAAACTGCAGGAGGCCCAGCTAAGAGAGTGTGCGCGCGCATGCATGTGTGCCTGAAAAAATATTTGGAAACAGTGCTAACCCTCATTGCTGTGCTCTGCTGTTGTCTATTTAGTTCTGGTTAATTCTTTCTTAGAGAGTGCTGGTCACAGTCTTGTAATCCCCCCTTTTGGAAAAACTACTCTGCTAGGCACCTTGAAGATGGTCTTAGGGTATCTTGAAGACCAGATATTCTGCTAAATATGTTGTTAAATAACTCATTAACTTCTCACATTAATCTTCAAAGAGAGGAGCTATTACTATTCCCATTTTTTAGAAGTTAAGAAACTTTCTTAAATTTACATGGTCTTACTAGGTGGTGAAGCCAAGGTTCCATCTCAGGTCTCTGTGACTCCAGAGTACACTTGTGAGATCATTAACAATGCAGAATGGGACTAGAAGCAGAACAGTATCTTTGGGCCTTTTTGAGTTTTTCCTGCTCTGCTACTGAGCCTTCCCATGGGTTTGGTAACATCTGGGGGCTAAAGCAAAGGCTGAAGTTCTCCTGTAAACAAAATACATTTAGAAGAAGATAAGGAGTTAGGAGGAACCAGGGCAAACCAGTCACTATGGTTCCTTCACAGAAAAAAGTTTCTTTTGAAGAGACTCTCAGTTTTACCCCATGGGTCCTGTGTCCTCTCTCCCCTCATCACCTTCCTTGTGCAACTGCTGATATAAGGGGGGTAGATTTTCCTTCTTTACTTCATTTTCTTGATTCTTCTTATAGAAGACAGTAAGATATTTTCAGCTTAATATCAAGATACCTATAAGATATATTTAGAATCACAAATATGCTCTCCATTATTTATTTTTCTGTTCTTACTGTTCATATTTTAACCAGCTTTTATTTTTGGAGGGGTATTGTGCCCTAAAGTTTGCCCATGTCAAGGCTTGCCCTCTGTAGGCTCTTAGTTCAGAAAAATTCACTGAAATTGTTATTGCAGTTAAGATTTTGCATGTTTATCCACTTTTAAATTGTCAAGAGGGTAATGAGTCACCTGTCAACTGATCCTCAAAGGTTGTGTGGTAAGAAGTACTACCATTTCTTAACAGACTTTATTTTCCTTTCAGCCTCCCTCATCCTTTTAGATCTTACTATGCTGTCTCCTCTAGTCTCCCAGCCCCCAAACCCATTCTATCTGCAACATGATTAAAAGTCAGTACCTGCTGTGCTACTCTCACCACCAATAAATAACTCCTCTGAGGCTTTTAAAAAGCAAGAATGGCCTTGACTGGTGCAGCTTAGTTGGCTGAGCATTGTCCTGCAAAGTGACAGGTCACCAGTTCGATTCCAGGTAGGGCACATGCCTGGATTGTGGGCCCAGTCTTCGGTGGGCAACCTATCAATGTCTCTCTCACACATCGATGTTTCTCTTCAACTCTTTCTTTCTCTTTTTTCTTCTCTCTAAAAAAAATTAATTTTTCTTCTAAAAATTAAAATCTTAAGAAAAATAAAAAAGAACATAGTTTGATTTGGTTTTCAAGTAGAAAAATTTTAAGCTCAGTCTGGACAGACTTACCACTTCGTTTTCTTTCCTAAATGTAGGCTGGCCTACAAAATACCACTTTAAGCAAGAGTACTTTTTTCATCCCAAGGCTGATCCTTGAAATTCTGGTTAAAGCTTTTATTTTTTTAGCCTAAGTCATTGAAAACTGTCAAAATGCAAATATCCTTGGGATTGTTATTTTTTTATAATTATTGGAGATTTATATCTTGTGAATATATTAGAGATCTTTTGCATCTAATATGTTTGGGGAGAAGGTGGGGACTTAAAGGTTGAAATTAATAATTCTAATTGATCATTGTGTTCAGGGTCAGAATTACTGCTCAGGCACCCTCCAAGTTTAAATTTTTTTCATCACTGGAAGATTTACCTTGTGATCAGGTGCTTTTATCTAAGGTGCCATTTCTTCTGCATTTTCAAATGCCTGTATAGAATAAATGTTAGAATGACATCTATCCAGTTGTGTTCTCTTCTAGAGGAAAACCTCGTCACCATTTTGTTCCAAGGAAATGCCAGTCTTATGGCCATGAGGAGGGAGAGTGGGGTTGAGGAATAAAGAACTTAAGTACAATTTTTAGTATTTTATTTTAGTTTTCTAAATTCCTCTAAAGAGTAAGTCACAGACTACCTGTCCTGATACTCTAACAAATTATGCTTGTTTTATATAGTTCTGACATTTTTCGTAAGTTGTTTTTTATTTCATTAGTAAAAATGTTATGGAACCATTTCTGTGTATAGGGAAATTTTTTAAAATTGATTTTATATATCCTCTCCCAAATAAAACGGATTTTGAAAATGAATGAAATCATTCAGAATTATGCATATACATTAGGGTTTTTATTAAGGCTTTAATTCTTGAAGATGTACAATTTTATAGATAAAAATGTAGTAAAAAATACTAGAAAACATATTTCCTAAGTAAGCATTTTTTTATACCTGAAAACATACTGATGTTCTTTTCCCCTTGACTTTTGCTCACGACCATGTTAACTAGCTGAATAATAGCATTATTATTTTTTAAACCAGTTGGGCTAGTGGGGTGGAGTCACAGAGGATGTTGATTCACCCTTAACTAAGTTAGCGCCACACTTTGGATTTCCTTCATTGTGGTTCATTATTAATAAAAATTAACAGGTTTTCTCTATTTTAATATCATAATTTATAGTTTATTAGCTATAATGGAGAAGCCTTATTAAAAGAAAATATTACAGACCTAGATAGGGTTTAACTCTTATTTGGAAGACGAAGGAACGGAATCCTGTTTGTGCTAGTCAGAGCGATGCCTGCATTGTGAGCTTCTGGCCTTGTGCTAGCTGAAGCCAGGCAGCACTGGCATGGGCAGAGCCTGCCAGGAAAGATTAAGCAGGGAAGTGCAGATTGCTGTGACTGACATTCTCTGCTTTAACAAAGCTTTCAGAAACCAGATGACTTTACTCTACAAAACTGTTAATAATTCACACTAAAAGATTTGATTACCCATAAAACACGTGTACAAATTTTACACTATGTAACAAAACATCTCAGAAGAGGTAAAAGAAATCATACGCATAAGTGCGCGTATGTACAAAACATTTTACCATACTTGAAGATTTTCTGGTTTGTTTGTTTTGGTCGGGGGGAGTCATTCAGAAAATTAACTCTTTTAACATTATGCTTTAGAATTGAAATATAGAATAGAATCAGACACTTTAAAATAAAAGTTGCCTAGTTTTCTACAAAGTGTATACAGGTGTGGGCAAATGTAGGTTTACAGTTTGTATGGAAAAAAACATGCAGGTTATGATTATTACGATGGTGTTGTCAACTCAAATGTCACAGTGGCACTTATGGGATTGTACCTAAGTGCATTGTGCTTTTGTAATAATCATAACCTGCATATCTTTTTTCCATATGAACAACCGTAAACCTACTTTTGCCTACCTCTGTATGTTTTATGTGTGAGTACCTTTTCTTCTCAGATTCATGTAAAGTATTAGTTTATAGTGTCCA